CGGCAGCGATGCGCGTGCGCTCGGCCTCTGCCTTGGCCGCCGCGATGACGGAGTACGCTTGAGAGTCGGCTTCGGTCTGCAAGACATCAGCACGGGGCGAGAGGCGAACGGCGTACGAGACATACGTTTCTGGCTTGCGCCTTGATGCGCGCCACAGAGAGTGTACCCTCCTCCTGTTTCACCTTATTGCTGTTCTCACGGTCCACGTTCTGCGAGGTCTGTCAGCGGCGAGTACGGAAATATCGGAGAGCGGTACTCACGGCAGCCTCGACCTGAGCTTGCAGGGCGCGCTTCGTCAGCTTGTCCATGGTGCTGGCGATTTCGCCTGCTTCATGTATCAGTACAGGTCCTCGCGATGCGATGACGATGAGGCGCACCCTTAAATTGCCGGTCGATGACGGCCAAGTCCTTCAAGACAATGCCGTACTCCAGCGCTGCCTCGTGCAGGTCATCCATGGCACGAGTACGCAATGCATCGAGGAATTGCGAAGATGCCTCCGTGCCATCTTCCATGTTCTCAGGACCGATGGAGCGTTGCTTGACCATGGAGCTGTAGTCCACTACGAAAAATAATCAACGTCACGTCCTACGATCTGCCAGGGCTTTACGCACAATGCGCGACAATTTGCGTCAGAATAGACTGAGTCTTATCCCTGAGTGACTGTCAGATCGGACGCTTCCCAAGTTTGTGATAGACTGCGCATACCTCAGGGCGTCATAAGGTGTCTCGTATCCGTGCGTAGCGAGCTGCAAAGTTGATTAGAGGGTGCCGGCGGGGATAATCGAGTGCGCTCACCTTCAGCGGCTCGGTCAGCTGCCACTTCAAATACAGCGTCAAGCCCACAGGAACTTGATCCCGAGTGAAGCTACGATACATGGTCAGTAATATGCGTAGAACAATCAGATGCACAACTTACATGTCCTTTGTGGGCATCTCGAACTGATTCTCTCCGAGTGTGTACAGGCCGCGCAGTGTCACATTCGGGTGTGTGATGCAGTGCTGCCCAGCTGGCAGGAGCTCCAAATCGTCACCCTTCTGCAAGATCGCACAATTGTTCGCCGGGATATCCAAGCTGCGGAATGCAAATGAGCTTCAAGATGACACGAGAACAAATGAGATGACACTGACAACCGAGCAACGGTATATGCCTGGACTTGGTTGCCAACAGGGCTGCTCATCGTAACTTCGTACGTGTGTCCGAGGACCACCTTAGTGACGTGGTCTTTGATGGGGTTTGGCAGATGGGTTTGGTCGACAATGGCGAGCACGTCGTAGCTGCCATCGATGGCGAATGCAACAAATCCGCTGTTCTTCACGACAAAGATGTGGTTCTGTTCAGATGCATCTAATCAGCAGCCGTCGCTCGAACTTATATAAACCCGCAATGTCTCTATACCTGTGGATCTGAAACGATCGCCGCTTGGTTTTGCGACACCTGTACAATGGTCAAACCTTGGAATGTGATGACGGTATCCGAGACTATATAACGCTATAAGTAGTCGTTCAACTTTTGAACGGAACAACCCACGATTCTTGGCGCCCTGATAAGACCGTGCCCACCAATTCCTCAGTGGGAACCCGGGATACCGCCCGGGATGTGTCAGGATCTTAGGCAAACCTCCGTGGTTGATGAGGCCCATCTGGCCAGGGCTCACTTCCTTGCCAATCCAGTCCGTGGGATGCTGTCATGAATCCGTCACGTCAGCTCTTTCGCACAACGGCACAAATACTGACCTTGCTGGAGAGGAGTTTGTTGCGCCCAGACTGCTCTCGGTCAGCCTACGTCCAACGTATCACCACAGGGAGTCTAGCTCACCTCCTGCAATTGGCGATCCAACTTCTCAAGAGCGCTGAGGAGCCCACCTTCTGCAATCTTCACTACGAAAGGGCGTTCGACAGCAAAATAATCGATTGTCTTCGTCAATTCGCCAGGCCGAATAACCGGGTGCTCAAAAGCAGGCTTGGAAAGGCCGAGTTCTTGTTCTTTGGAGGACGAAGGACCATCGTAGACGGTGGTATTGTCTCCGAACTCGGTAGCGGGACGAGGGTGCATGATAGCAGGGGTTGCTGTGAGGGTTGGACGGGGAAAGGGGTTGGAGAACAGGGTATTTGGAGGTGGCGGATGTGAGGTACAACAGAAAGGATTAGACACGCTATATATACCATTGTGTCCGTGGGTCCTGGAAAGAACGACACAGCCGCCGAACGCACCTGACAGAAGGCTGGCGGCGACCAGGCCAAAGACCACCCTGTCGGGTCCCCGTGCGAGAGTCCGCCGCCTAGCCGATATCCAACGACAGCTGGACTCTGCTGTAGTGAATTCGAAGGAACACGGCACGGTCGGCCCTTGGGCGCGCGCACAGGTATTACTTCCATGAGGCTATTATCGAAGGGAGGCTGTCCTCGTCTGCGCACGCATTATGAGCCGCAAGCGTGCACGGGGCTGATGTACCCCTGAGATTGTGCTAGGCTGTGCAAAGTCTAATCTGGCGCTCTGACTCTGACATCGACCCTCGAGGCGCGGGATTCGACGTCCAAGCCAGCACCGTCACTACTGTCTCGTTAGGAACTGTGCACCGACATTCAGCTTGTCCATAAACTGGCTATGTGATGGTCAGGCTCGGGGCTGGGATATGCTGTACAACACGTCGAATCAGGTGTGGAACGTCGTGTCATCTACGCGGCAGACCTAAGAAGCACGGCAGTCGATTAGCGTCAACGCGGTCGACTGGTCAACGGCAGTGGTGTCCGCAAGGTGTCGGTCGTCGTGACGGACAGCCGCCGACGATTTGACGAAATAGAGTTACGTCCGCTATACACGGCATGGCACTGCACTGCAAACTGCAGCTGAGACGCACATGTCACGGCTACAGCAAAGAATCGATCAAACAATGACCGTCTGATACTACTGCTAAGAGAGCGCGTGGCGGGGGAAAACAGCCACCCCTCTAGCGGAGCATGACACATACGACGGTGAAGGGTCGAGAGAAGCGGATCCCGGCCAATTACAAGGCCTGGTATGACAGCTGTGCGTCGACGCCAAGAGCTGCGTCCTTGCCATGAACGTGCAGAGGCGATCGCCTGGCGGAGAGTTGGTGGAGAGTGGCGGAGATTTGTATCAATTAAGAGGCGACGACACACATAGAAGAATGCATGTAGATTATGTGCCACAGTCGAAGTGAGGGCGAGTGCCTTCAACAAAAGGTGAAGGCCGTTGTGAACTGCAGGTTGAAAGTCGGAGAAATGGATGGCAACAGGGCCTTGTGGGATGTCATTGTCAAGTGACAGAGTGACAATAGGCTAGGCTGTCCAGTCAGATAATGAATCTGAAGTGCACTTCGGTGTATGGAAGGGATCCGAGTCCTATAGCGAGACGCAGGCCGCAGGAGCGCATGCAGCCAACCTGTACCCAACGTCTGTTTCAATCGCTTCCAAACCAAGATCTTGCAGATGTCGTTCATTTCGAAGATGCTCCCTATCATCTATCCAGAGTCAGCACCGGGCAGTCAACGAATGGGAGATCATGGTGGTGGGCAAGGGCAGACTCGGATGTTGTGCGGTAGCACGGCACGATGGTCACATTGGTTATTCTCTCACGCCCTCCTCTGTCAGAACGACGTGTCTTCGGATCCAACTCAAGGTTCAGTTAAAACCTTCCTCTCCAGCAAAGTCTCAGGTTTCTTCATTTAGAGAGCAGACGGGAGCCTATCTCTCCCAGAGCCTGAATTCCTGTGACGAGCCTATGATCCGAAGCCGTCCAATGACACGGGCGTCTGTGCCAATTAACGTGCGCTCCGCCCAAGTACGTTCGCAAGAATTACTACACGGATAAGTAACAACCCCCTGATAACATTCGTGCCATTGTCTTTGGAAGGGATACCAGGACTCTCCTCTCGAGGCGAGCGCTCGAGCACCGAAGCAAAGGTATGAACGCGGCATTTTGTCGCATTGTGCGACGCAATGGTCTGTCCAGATATTCGGCTTTGTGCGCAGCGCGACTGTGCTTCATGCGTCTTGCAATTTCCCGAAATCTCGCTTTTCAAGCCGTCGCCGCATCACGGGGCTCAGATATCAACGGTGACCGGTCAATGCTTGTGAGTTCATCGATATCCTGTCTAAGCGCCATGTTCGCTCCTCGCCAAGAGCTTTCTGAAGAAGTACACTGCCCGCCAGCAGTTTGTGGCAGGCATTGCTGGAAGAACCGCATAAGCTATCGGACCGTATGTTCTCCCATTTAATCAGAAAAAGACTGATGAATGGTTTTCCGCGCAGGACAACCCAAGGCAATTATTTTCTTGGGTTCTCTACAGACCGAACATCAAAGCTTTTGCCGATCAGGTGAGTATCCTACGCACCTTGCGTTCGGCGGAACAAGTGGTTTCATCCGCACCGCCACCTAGACCGCTTCATAGCCCAACCCCCATCCCCGTACACCCACCTTGTCTAATACTCCGCCCATCCAGTGCGTCTTGCGCACCTGAACCATAGAGCAGACAATTGCTTTCACCTTGCACAAGTGTCTTTTTTCCACCCCTGCAGTTCAAGATTGAAGAAATTGCTCGCTCTCCATAGGTAGGGATGGACAGTCGAACATCTGCCGTCATGAAGTCACAATGCTTCATCCTACGCGACTGGCTAAGCCTGCCCGGGTCGTCACACTTGCTGCCTACAGGCACACGCATTAGGATGCCTACACAGCCGCTGGGCTACGGTGAAATAGGCTATAGGCTGGTGCAATCTCGAGATGAATGGCACCGTAGTCAATTTCAAAGCTTCTTCAAATATGAGGAAGGCCCATTTGCGCTGCACCCCAGTGACGAGTTGGTCTCCTGCAATAAAGCAGTGGAGTACACATAAGGAAGCCGAGTCGACACACGGGTCAAGTTTGAATGACATGGATGAGATTTCTCCTGGAGAGTGGGAAGAAGTCTACCTGGATATCGTCTGGAGGGGCGAGATAGTGACTGTTTGGAATAAAAAAAAAGAATTGTGTACGAACTGGACGAAGACGGGATTGAACCCTGGACTTCATGCAACTACTTTCCCCCGCTGTAAAAGGAAGTGCGAGGCAAGCGCGCTACCACTGTGCCATCCGCCCTCACATTTTATCACGAATATAACTAAGATGATATCTAAATCGCCATTGTGGTCAAGTCAGAGCCTGTCAGAGCTTTCAGTTTTCAGTCAGTATCTTCTTGCATTGTCGGCAGTCAGTATGAGCCTATCATCATTCCTTCTCGGATCGGCAAAGGGAAAGTCATCCAGCTCTGTCGACGGCGATTTGGACGCTCTTTTCCGATCATCTGTACGTTCAGTCCTTGGACTAGTGTCGACATAGCTAACTTGACCTGTGATCCTGGTAGGCAGCACACCTGTCGGCACCACTACCTACTGAGAAAAAGCGTAAGCGACCAGAACCGGACACCTCAATACCTGATTCCAAACGGTCAAAGACATCGAAAGCAAAGAAGGCGGAGCCCACACCCTCGACATCCGCACACACTGACCACGACCGGAAAAGTACAGGCGAGACCTCGAAGAAGGATCGATTAGAACGGGTGAAGAAGGGTGGAAAGGTGAACAGGAAGACAGCCCAGCGGAAGGAGCTCGCTGAGGACAGTAGCGAGGAGGACAATGCGGGGCTGGAGGACGCGTACCACCTCAAGTCGGGCAAGAAAGCCCCACAGTCTGTCCACGCGGACAACAAGGAGAGTACTTCGGACAGCGACTCTGAGGATGGAGGTGGTGTCTCCCAGTTGGTCCACGAGACCGTGTCGAAGCAGGGCAAAGCCAACAAAATCCGCACGAAACAGGTGAAGTTCGTCCCTGCCGACGAGACATCAGAGCAGCGCAATGCCCGCACCATTTTCGTCGGGAATGTGCCCGTTGACGTTGCCAAAAACAAGGTCAGTATGTAGCTACAGGTCTACGCGTACATTCATTCACACTGCCGTTTCCTACTAGTCATCACTCAAAAGCTTCAAACGACACATCCTCACCCATGTCCCCTCCGCCAAAATCGAATCAACACGCTTTCGCTCCGTTGCCTTCCAAAATCCCACCTCCAAACTTACAGCTGGTGATGCATCCGCACAACCCTCCCAGCCCAAACCCGACGAAGGCAGACAGCACGACCGCGCCCGCGCCGCATCCTGGCGGGCAGCGAATCCACCGGACGATGCGGAGGAGCGCGAGAAGGAGCGGAAGCGGCTGACGACGCAGGAGAAGAAGCGCATCGCGTTCATCAAGCACGAAATCCACGACGAGTCGGACGCGATGCATGCGTACGTGGTGTTCGCGCACCCCGCGCCCCGCGCGGCGAATGTGCCTGCGCTCCCGGTGCTGGACCCGTATGAGGCCGTGCGTCTTGCTGTGGAGAAGGTCGATGGGACGGTGTTTATGGAGCGCACGCTCCGGGTCGACGTGGTTGGCAAGGCGCGCGTAGCAGGAAAGGAGGGTGCAATGCTGGGCGATCCGAAGAAGACGGTGTTTGTGGGGAATTTGGATTTTGCGAGTAAGGAGGAGGATCTGAGGGTATTCTTTGAGGGCGTGGTCAGTGCAGAGAGGGGGCCGAGAGGCACGGACGAGGGGAGCGACGAGGACCAGGACCAGGACGAGGAGGCTGCAGACCCAGCCAGTGATGAGCCCAAACCCAAGACCTGGGTGGCCAGAGTTCGAATCATCCGCGACAAAGACACTCAGCTTGGCAAGGGCTTTGCATATGTGCAGTTCTCGGTAAGTGAAGCGAATGCACATATTCCGCCATGCAAGCTTACGCTACTCAGGATCGTGAATGTGTCGATGAGGTGGTAGCCCTCGAAGAGGGCAAACTAAAATTCGCCAAGCGAAAATTACGCGTCCAGCGCTGCAAGACACTTCCGGGCGGCGGCAAATTATCCCATGCTAAATCCCACACTCCTTCTGGCAAGACAACATCGTCCGGGAAACCTGCGAGGCCGCCCCGACCTGCCCCAGGACCCAAACCCGGCCCAATACCCAAGGGCGACCCGCGTCTAGGCGAGAAGCTCGCTCACTTGCCAAAAGAGAAACGCAAGGAAGTAAAGGCAGCGGATAGCGATCGTGTTGCCCGCCGGCTTGCGAAGAAAAAGGCGAGGAATGCCTTGGAGAAAGCGGGTGTCAAGGAGCAGAAGAAGGATCGTGAGCGGGTCCGGAAGACTGCATTTGAGAGGAAGGGCGGAGCGGCGCAGGAGCAGAAGAAGGGGAGGATACGGAGCGAGAAGAGTTTGACGAAGAGGAATACGAAAAAGTGAATGAGCATATCATTTTGTTGACTCGTCCTACTTGTGTGCATGAGAGCATACCGTTGACCTTTGTGTCTAAGGAATCTACACTGAGTAAAAGCCGTCATCGACTCATCATCATGAAGATACGCCTCAGCGAAGCCTGCACCTTATCATATGTGAAGAACGTTGAAACTTACTGGCGCACTTATGCGACCTGTAGGTCTACAGCAGCAGGTTCCGAGTCGGCCTGAAGATCACGAACGAATGACGAACGCACGGCATGCAGCGCTTCAAGGGAATGATTGTCTTGCCAAAATATCGAGTATGGGTGAAGTACGCAAAAGAAATTGTTCCCATTGAAACGCGGTGAAAGTACGTACACAGAAGTAGATGTACAAATGTTGCAATGCCAGAATACACTCGAAGCAGCCATCGGTGCGTCACGCTTAAATCCTCCCTACTGACGACCACGGTGGATTGTCCGTGGTCACGCCGCCAACTCCACCTTGCAAGACGGTGTCGACTGTAAGGCTGAGCGCAGGGGACAGCTGAACTGGCTCCATGGCCCACAACGCCACCGCCACCGTGCTGAAGGTTCTCTGAGCACGCGAGCATTGCGGAATACAGAGGAGGATGCTTACTTTGACCCTTGATAGTCCAATATTCCCTCGTGCACAGGGAACTTGAACTGGGGCCTGTATCAAGTTCAACATTAAAGATGACGTGTATACATACGGCCAGCTAGACGAAAGTCATACCCGAGGTTCGCGACCCTCTTACCCATCATCCATCCGTTGACGAACAGCAGCGCCCGATACGGCTGCGAGGTCTGATCGAACGTGAACGACATCAAGACGTCGAACCCACTTGGGACATTCAAGTCAAAAGTCGTCACGAAGAAGCCGGCTCCCGCAGTACCATTCGGCAGACCGGTACTGAGATCCCGAGATGCCCATGAAGAAGTGTCGAAATCGGGGAGGTGCCACCCTGCGCGTTCACCGAACAAGCCGCCCTCGTTGAACACGCCGCGAGTCTTGTCGGGGAAACTAAGGAGCATCAGAGAGCTACGGCGCGAGAGAGGACTTGCATGCGTACTCTGTATATCCTCCAATCTTTCCTTGCACTTTCCACGTGGAAAAAGTACCGTTGTTCAGTTTGAAGCCCCTGACTCCCCGAGGCGACTTGGAGGTTTCTGGCGAACCCTGGGTCTCATTGAGGCCCATGTTATCCTGTATGAGGGTGAGTATCGCTAGACCGACCTCGCCACCATGCGTTGTTTACCTGAACGATGGTAATGACGTTGTCTTGTCCGACAGAGACAGATCCGTTTGGGAATGAGAAGACCTGATCAGTCTCCTCCAATATATTTCTGTTGTTTGTTGAGCTGACGCAGCGACACCATGTATTAGTTTCACGGCTCTTGATAGGTCAGCGGTCCGAGGTACTTACTTCCCAAAAGCTGTCCCCAAGAATACATCGTTCAGCCAGACGCTTGCCGCGAAAGCTGCAAAGGAACGCTTTGAACTCTTACTAGCGAGACACCACGATAGCTACTTACCTTCACCGCCGTTAATAGACAGGTTCGCCGACTTCTCCAGGCCAGTCGCATTGAAGTGTCCACGCCACAGGACTACGTTCTCGCAGCTGCTCGTTTGAATCAATATGTGCACAACCCACACCGAATTTTAACCAAATTGACGCACAATCCATAATCGCATCCATATAGAACTCTTCCATCTCCATAGTAAGGCTTGAATGGGATATTGGTGGACGTATGGTTCGCTACAGTCCAGTTCGAATCGTCGAAACCCGCTTGGATCTCCGGCAAGCTATCCTGGAACTTCCAGCCCTGCAGCGCCGGCGCCGTGATGGTCTGCGCCGTGGTAGACAAGTTCAACTGCCCCACGAACCCGCCGATGGTGGTAATCTGTTTGGCCGCTGCGACGTTATTCGCGACGCTCACGCCGTTCCACGTCACGCCGGTCATTTGCGGAGGCCCTATGACGACGAGCCGAGTGCTCGCGTTGAGATCACCGCGCAGCTCCAGCGTCCCGTCGGCTGCGAGAGTTGCGTTGCGCACGAGATGGGGCCCGCCGACAAGCACGGTAGCATTGCTTCCGAGTTGCCAGTAGTTCAAGAACGGGTTGCTGGCATCGCCTGCAAGGACCGGCGCCCAGAACGTTCCTGCGGTGACCGAATCGGCGTAGAGGCTCAATCGAGTCGATGTATCTTCCAGAATAAATGGCCCCCCGTGTATATTGTTGGCCGGGAAACCAAAGCTAGCAGACGGTGAGTGGGTGAGAGCGATCTCTGATCCTTGGCTCGAGTCACCGTAGAGGAAGAGGACATCCCGAGACCCGATACGCCCCGCGAACAGGATGGGAGTGGTAGACCAGAGGATAAAACCGTTCAGACCATAGTGATAGTCGGTGACGATGACTTTAGATTGCCGTCCGCTGAGTGTGACGTTGGGGACGGTCTGGGGTATCTTGATCGTACCGGCGGACGTCGTGACAGTCAAATTGAACGCTGTCGTAGCACTGCAACCCTTGTCAGTACACGCGCTCTCATTTGTGCCAGTAAGCACGCACGTGGAGGTAGACTCCGTTTGCCTGGCAATCCAGAAACTCGCGCCCGTGTCCGGATTTTTCAACTGCGTTACGAAAGTAGCGGAGTTTGACACCTTGACTGCTCCAGTGCTGCTATTTCCAATCCAATCGGTCTTGTAAAACTCAGGTGAGGAACGTAGAAACAGCCCCTGGAGCTTCAATTCGGTGTGTTTGGTGGATACCTCGCGAGACTCTTCTATAGCGCTCCCATAATCGTAAGATGCTGGACAGGCCGTCAAGCCATT